ATGCACATATTCGGCATAAAGGCTCAATTTTTATACCCGTTACTCATAGAGTAAAAGGGTATATGGTATTCGTGCAAAAGTATGTAACAGGTAGAAGGAAGCGTTTCCGACCCTATAAAGTATATATATTCTTGTTTAGGATCACTAGCCGAGTCGATCTAGCCATGTCCGCCTGTCCGTCTCTCCGTCTGTCTGTCCGTCCGTATGAACGCTGAGATCTCGGAAACTATAAAAGCTAGAAGATTGGCATTTTGCATGTAGATTTTAGGAGTTCCTACGCAGCGCAAGTTTGTTTGTTTCAAAATGGTGCCACGCCCCCTCTGACGCCCACAAGCCACACGCTGTGGCCACAGTTTTGATGATATTATGAAAATTTTAATTGATATGTATTTGTTTCGTCAATAAATATCGATTGGCCCAATAAAAGTTTGCAACGCCCACTCTAACGCCCAAAAACCCATTAAACGCTTAAGCCTGGCCAGCGCCAACATTTCCGCTTTCATGGCGCCATCTAACGGATGACTTTGGAACAGCTGGCCAAGGTGCTCAACAGAGTCAACGTTAATTCTCGATACGGATTTCTATTAAAGGAAATTGCGATGTTTTTTTATTATACCCGTTACTCGTAGAGTAAAAGGGTATATTGTATTCGTGCAAAAGTATGTAACAGCTAGAAGGAAGCGATTCCGACCCTATAAAGTATATATATTCTTTATCAGGATCACTAGCCAAGTCGATCTAGCCATGTCCGTCTGTCCGTCTGTCTGTCCGTCTGTCTGTCTGTCTGTCTGTCTGTCCGTATGAACGCTGAGATCTCGGAAACTATAAAAGCTAGAAGATTGGCATTTTGCATGTAGATTTTAGAAGTTCCTACGCAGCGCAAGTTTGTTTCAAAAAGGTGCCACGCCCCCTTTAACGCCCACAATCGCTGAGATACGATTTTAAAAATTTAAATATTTCGGAAAAGTAAAAATGCAGTTTTATTGTGTTTATCAATACCTATCGAAATGTAGAAGAAATTTTTCAAATCGGACCATTCGTTAAAAAGTTATGCGTGATCAAAGTTTCTATCTCCATCTCCCTCGCACTCCCTTTACCTGAGTAACGGGTATCTGATAGTCGGGGCACCCGACTATAGCGTTCTCTCTTGTTTGTCAATACCGAACTATATCCCAAGAACTATGCAAATCAAATCTAGTTGCCCAAATTGGAGGTCTGAGTCAAACAATGGCGTATGTGTGTATGTATGTAAGCATATACATATGTATGTATGTATTTACATTGTACACAGTTGCAATTGCCCGGCAAAGATAACTCCTTTCAAAGAAAGCTATTCGCTATACCCGTTACTCGTGTTGTGCAAACATTTAGACTTTAATATACATAATACTATTTAAGAATGTATGTGTTTAGCCAATATAAGTATGTATGTTTAATATTTCTAGTCAATTTATTGCACTCAAAAACATAAACATAAACACAGCTGCTGGTGCAGGACAAAAGCTGCCTGCGCTAAAGCAGCGCTGGTGCTAATGCTCGTGCTGTAAAGCTGCCAGCACTAAGAGATCGCCGAATTCAAATTGATAATTTGAACTTTTTGTCCTATTTTCCTGTGGTCACTATAATTCACATTATTAAAAAAAAAAAAAAAAAAAAAACACAAGAAGGCATATTTATATTAAGTTGTTTAGCTGAGTAACGGGTATCTAATAGTCGAGGCACTCGACTATAGCGTTCTCTCTTGTTTTTACTTGATACTATCAACACTTTTGATGCCATAATAGGTTTCGACTTGCTTACGCAGGCCGGAGCGGCATTAGATTTACGTAACAGCGTTATCAGGTATGGAAATATATCTGAACAGCTCAAATACCACGAATGCGATAACGTGAACTTCACTAATATCGATGACTTAATAGTCCCAGATTCAGTGAAAGCTGCATTTAAAAAAATGATCCTTAAGAGGAAACAAGTGTTTTCGCACTCTAACGAGGCGCTACCTTTAACACCTCGATCATTGCCACAATTGGTACGGACACTAACGAACCCGTATATTCCAAGCTATATCCTTACCCCATGGGAGCAGCAGATTTTGTTAACACAGAAATCAAACAGCTGTTAAAGGATGGCATTATCCGGCCTTCTAGGTCACCATTTAACAGCCCAACATGGGTTGTTGACAAAAAGCGAATTGATGCAGATGGCAACAAGATAAAACGGCTGGTGATCAATTTTAGGAAACTGAATGAATGAACCATCTCCGACCGTTACCCTATGTATTCCTAGTTGGAACTTAGGAAAGGCAAAATTTTTACTACTCTAGACTTAAAATCGACACCAGATTTATCTGGCTGAGAAAGACCACGAAAAAACTGCTCTCTCCATAAACGGAGGAAAGTATGAATTTTGCCGTCTACCCTTTGGACTTGAAAATGCGGGAAGCATCTTTCAAAGGGCGATTGACGACGTACTACGTGAACAGATCGGGAAAATTTGTTACATCTATGTAGACGACGTGATAATTTTCTCCGAAAATGCTGCCGACGACGTTATACACATTGACACAGTCCTAAAATGCCTGTGCGAAGCCAACATGAGAGTGGCACCGAAAAAATCCAAATTCTTCAAGAAAAGTGTTGAATTTTTTGGTTTCATTGTTACATCAAACGGAGACAAAACAGACCCGGAAAAGGTAAAAACCATTCAGGAGTTCTCCGAACCAAAAAATTTGTTCAGTCTCAGGTCTTTTCAAGGATTGGCCAGCTACTACAGAAGTTTTGTCAAGGACTTCGCTACCATAGCTAGACCACTTACCTCCATACTTAAAGGAGAGAATGGCACTGTTAACAAACACATGTCAAAAAAGGTTGCTATCGAATTTGATGAGACCCAACGCAGAGCGTTCGAGCGCCTGCGAGACATTTCGTCATCAGAAGATGTGATACTAACATATCCAGACTTCAAACTTCCGTTCGATTTGACAACCGATGCCTCAGCAAGCGGTATCGGTGCGGTACTGTCCCAAAAAGGCAGGCCAATCACAATGATATCTCGCACGTAGAAAGACTGCGAGCTCAATTACGCAACAAACGAAAGAGAATTATTGGCAATTGTTTGGGCCATAGGAAAATTACGAAATTACCTATACGGCACTAAAGAGATCCGGATTTTTACGGACCATCAACCTCTTACCTTCGCTCTATCCGAGCGAAATACAATTGCCAAAATTAAACGATTGAAAGCATTCATCGAAGAACATAACGCCAAACCCGGAAAGGAAAATTTTGTGGCTGACGCTTTGTCACGACAAAACATAAATGCTATACTAAACGAACCCCAATCTGTCGTAGCCACTATTCACAGTGAACTTTCTTTGACCTACACCGTCGAATCTTCTGATAAGCCCCTGAACTGCTACAGGAATCAAATAATCCTGGAGGAAGCAGATCAGCCTTTACGGCGACACTTCATTGTTTTCGGGACCAAAAACCGACACATAATCCAATTCAATAACAAGGACTCGCTGTTCGAATTGGTCAAAGAGGTAGTAAATGTAGATGTTGTTAACGCCATTTACTGCGACCTCCCTGCACTAGCTTGCATCCAACATGCCTTGGTGACCGAATTCCCAGCAACCAAGTTCTGGCATTGCAAAAAATTGAATGACATCACGGATGCAAATGAACAGAAAGAAATAATTATCTGCGAACACAACCGCGCTCACAGGGCAGCCCAAGAAAATGTCAAACAAGTCCTTCAGGATTACTACTTTCCAAATATGTCCAAACTCGCTAACGAAGTGGATGTAAACTGCAAGACATGCACCAAAGGGAAGTACAATAGACACGCCAAGAAGCAGGAGTTGGGTATCACACCAACCCCCTCATATGCTGGCGAAATGCTGCATATAGACATATACTCTACGAATAAGAGTTTTTTTTTTTCACCTGCTTAGATAAATTTTCAAAATTCGCTGTAGTACAGCCATTACTTTCTAGAGCCATAGTCGATGTGCGCAGCCCCATATTACAACTAATAAATTTTTTCCCAAACATTAAAACAATATATTGTGATATTGAGGCATCTTTCAACTCGGAGACTATAACCTCATTATTGAAAAATCAATATAACATTGACATTGTTAACGCACCATCTCTACACAGCATCAAAAATAACAAAAGGTTAGGAAATAAACTACAACAATTACGTACAAGCAGACATGGAAACGTCTGTCCTTATTAGTGGGAGGGTGGTCCACAAGGACAACATTAGATAAAAAGATAACACAACTCGCCGCAACCGCCCAGGTGCGGGAGATATGCGATTATTGGGAATCGCGCTAAAAGCACAACGCCGCGAGTATCCAAAACGACATTCCCGCCCAACACAATCCCGCGGGAGAAGACGTTAAAACAATATCCCGCCGAAAATATAAACGACATATCTCCGGAGATAGCGTGAGTATGCGCTTAAAACGACATATCTCCGCGCGAGTTTCATAGCTACAAAGTTGATTTTTTTAAATATCATATATCACTCATTTCAAATGTACATATTCATATCGGCATGTAAAACAGGACAAATTATAGAGCTCTAAATTTTTTTCCCATACACAAACTACATACATACATATATTGTCACATTCCCTTGAATTGATGTCCTATAGTGTGTTAAAACAGTGAAAAACAAATTAAAAATTTGGAAAAAGACAAAATAAAAATCATTATTTGATTAAACACAAGTTCAAACACAAATATTTTGAATATTCTGAAAAAAACATCAATATATTATAATAATTTTAAAAGTTACTATTAAATACAAAAATTAATATAAATATATTTCCCATTTTTGGGAATCTTAATATTTTGTACCACTTTACTATGAGAAGTGAGAAGTTATGTGGCATGCTCCAAAATTGCATTTTACCGTTCTTTATTATCTGTTCTTTTATTAAGTGCTGCGTACGTACAAGAAGAAGTCATTTGACTTCGTAAGTTCACAGCGAGCAGTTGACCTAATAATGGACTTGGAAAACATTAAATTTGAAATTCGGGAAGGAAGCCGTAATGGCTCACAAAAAAATAAAATATTGAAGCTCGGTGATATAGCATACGTCTGTCGCGTGGAAGGCTGCTAAGCCAGACTATATTTAAGTTCAGATAAAACACGTGCTTTTTCGAATGTTAATAATATGGTGCATAATCATCCGTCCCAATGTTGCGAAATAGCAAAACTCGGTGCGGTGTCAGAAATTAAACAAAAATGCCAAGACAATACAAATTTGGACATAAAACAAGTTTTTAATGATGTTCTTGCTGAGTGAGTAAACAAACATAATAATTTTTTCAAGTCAAATTTTCCTCATTTTTTTACTAGTTCTGAATGAAAAAAAAATAAAGTTAAAAGTTTCTGAAAGTAAAAATCTTTTGTAAAAATACAAAATTTAAAAAGCTAATATTAAATAAATATTTATTTTTTAATATTACGATTTTTTTTGTGATTTTAAAACTTTTTAAATTTGTTTTTATTACAGTTTGTATTTAGAGATTACGTTGTAGATTACATATTTGTGTATGTTCTATGTAGATAAAGTTGGTTGCACAATATATATAAAATATATATGTAATGTATTACATACTTTAACATTTTTGTAATTTTAGTAAAATTCGATATTAAAATTTAATTATTACTTTTCTTAAATTTTCTGTTTGATAAAGAAAAACCGAAGGTGATGAGGAAATTGAGGTCAACTTCGATACTGTCAAACGAACTCTACAAAGAATAAGGCAGCCATTCTTGCCAAAGTCTCCAACAACCCCAGAGAGCGTTCGTTTAATGTTTGAAGATGAAAACGTCATGAACCTATTTGGTATGACCAAAGGAAATTCTCCAAAATGTTTTTTCAAAAAAGTACACGTATCAAGCTCATTTGGGTACTGTATTTTTTCTTCGGACAAGATAATTGGTTTAATTGAAAATAATATTGAAGAGCAAAATCGTAATTACCTCATTGATGCCACTTTTAAAGTATGTCCTTTTGGAGATTTTAAGCAACTTTTAATAATTTACATTAAACATATTCAGAAGGTAAATTATTTCTTTTAATTGATATAAATGATTATTTTATTTTTTTATTGCTTTAGATAACGCCGTTTATATTCGTATTGATGACGTATATTGATTTCAACATTTGTTGCTTAAAAGGTGCATCTTTTATTTCGGACTACGAAAAAGCAATGCGTAACGCCCTAAAAAAATTGCATCCTTCAATGAATTTCTTTGCTTGTTGGTTCCATTTTACACAAGCATGCAAAAAAAATGCAAAAAAGACGCCCGGATTTGAAAAAATGGTAAATTGCAATAAACATGCATATGTACTCTTTCTCAAGTTTTTGTATTTACCGCTTCTACCAGCTACAAAAATAGTCGAAGCATTTAATATGTTGAAATGCCAAGCAAAATCTTTAGAAAATAAGATGTTTTCTCCATTTTTAACATATTTTGAAAAGCAGTGGCTTAAAAAGGTTGGTTCTATGTTATAAGTTATAACTTATAAATTTGTATTGGTATTAGTTTTTTGGTATATTATAATACCTTATTTTATTTCTTAGGAAGGACCCGAGAACATATCGGTTTTTAAGCGTTCAACTCGAACCACCGGGTCTGTTGAAGCGTATAATTTGAATTTAGGCAATAAGATTCGAGCAAAAGGGCATTTTTTCAAATTTGTACAATGTTTAATTGATGCAGAATTTGAGAAAAGCCGGGAATTCGCCCTCCTGTTCCAAAACGCCAGTGTTGGAAATCAACCAATAACGAAACAGTTACGTGTAAGTATATGTTATTTTATTAAGAGATAACTATACATAAGAACAATAATTTTTTCAGAATCGTTCTCAAAAAATCATGGACGCAATGGAGTTGTTTGATATTGGAGAAATATATATTCAGGGATTTTTAACTCGCACGGTTTCGCTAAACGATCCTCTTGAGAAGAAGGATATCTTTAACAGTGTGGATGACATGGAAACTAATTCGTCTGAGCTTAATTCTTCAACATCATCTATTTCCTCAGACGGTTCCAATTTAAGTCAGTTGTCGGATACTGCTATTGTCCAAATGAACCCATGTAATGTGTGCCTATTGAATCCTAAATCTGTTTTGTTGCGACCATGTAATCATGTTAATGTCTGCGGCATATGTTGGGATAAAATTGTCGAAAATAATTCCTTGAAAGATAGTGACATTGACGATGATGAAAGTGGAAATTTAAAACCGAAATGTCCCAGCTGTAATCAGCCTGTTGATGAGGCAATTCGAAATGTTTTTATTTACAATTAAATAAGAAGTCTTAAACAACTAAAATGCTGTCAAAAACAAAAAGTTTAAAGTAATACCTATAAATACAAGCTGTTTCTTTGAATTGGGACGGCATGATCCACGGCGTAGTCAACAAGGAGGTAAAATATTTATTTTTTAAACGTCACATCTCGAGATATGTCGTTTGCAGAAGGGCGGAGATATGTCGTTTTTATACGACATAACTCCGCGTTGATCAGCGGGGGGGTTATGTCGTCTCAAAACGACATATGTCCGCGCTTCTGCAAACGACATATCTCCGGACGAAGATATGACGTTTAAAAACGAAATAATTTCGCGCGGATATCTGTCGTTTTTTAACATCTTATCTCCGCGCCGTTTGTAGAAGGGCGGAGATATGTCGCCGAATTTTTTTTTTAAAAAAAAAATAAATTTTTTTTTTTTTTTTTTTTTTTTTTTTTTTTTTTTTTATATATTTTTATTATTATAAAATATTTTTTTTTTTTTTCTTTTTTTTAAAAATGGGGGATTTTTTTATAAATTTTTTTCTATAGTTAATGTTAGAGTAACGGATTATTCGCATGCTCAGTACATCCCAATTACGGACGGAATTGCGTTAGTATGGGAACCGAATTTTCAATTATAGTAGAAGAAACTACTAGGCTGTCCGATCTATTCCCACAGTCTCATATGAGAAAATTGTTAGAAGTCGATACCGAACACGTTAGAGGTTTATTGTCTGTTTTAAAGGTACACCATAGGATGGCCAGGAGCCTAGACTTCCTAGGCACCGCACTCAAAGTTATTGCGGGCACACCTGATGCGGCCGATTTCGATATGCTAAAAATGTCCGATGCACGTTTAATTGAATCAAATAACCGGCAGGTTATAATAAATACGCAGACGCAAAATAAAATAAATGAATTAATAGAGACCGTTAATAAAATTATCAAGGCAAAACAAAATAATGTAGTTGACACTTCTCACCTGTACGAGGTACTTTTGGCCAGGAATAGAATACTAATAACGGAGATTCAAAACGAAATGCTTACAGTCACGCTTGCAAAAGCCAACATCATAAACCCAGCAATTTTTAATCAAAATGATTTGAAGTCTGTATTTGTTGATCACCACACAGAAGTCCCCATCATTAGCCTACTAGAGGCGTCTAACATTAGAGTCCTTCAGTCCGATAGTATAATCCATGTGCTAATCGCATACCCTAAGATTAAAACAATTTGTAAAAAGGTCACAATTTTCCCTGTATCACACCAACACACCATCCTGCAGTTGAAGGAGAACACAGTAGCCGAATGCAATAGCGACGTCCTAGCAGTCACCGATTGCGTACCAACAACTTACGCATCGTTTTGCAAACTGGCGGATTACGATACTTGTGCTCGAGGCCTGCACGCGGGGAGTACTGCACTATGCGAGACGCAAGCCAGTCACCTAAGCCCCATCACGTTAAAAGATGACGGAGTAATAATAATCAACGAGAGCCCAGCTAAAGTCAGCACTGACGATGGCCCTGAAATAACCACCAACGGCTCGCACCTCGTCATGTTCGAGCGAGTGGCTCTCATCAATGGCACCAAATACTCCAACCAACGTGAAGCCATAAGGAAAACTCCGGGCATGGCGGCATCACCGTTACTCAACATCATCGGCCACGATCCCACGCTAAGCATGCCACTCCTCCAGAGAATTAACAGCCAAAACTTGGAGGTCATCCAAGGACTTAAGGAGGAAGTGAAATCGGCTGGAACTACCGACACCTGGTTCGCGGTCGGTGTGGGAGCCAGTCTTCTCATCAGCTGAACCTTCCTACTCATCATAATGCTGAGGAGGAGACGAGACGCACGGGAGATCAAACAAGCTGTTGAAAAATTCCAGATGACCGAGGACGGTCATATTCCTAAGGGGAGAGTTTTTAACACTGTTAAGGAGTAGTCATAAGTTGACACAGATCTTGGGTGATCATTAGGACCACCCTAGCATATTCAGATATTGGGTGATCATTAGCTCGCTGCACGAGCGGTCGGCTTGCCGGCCGCGCATAGCTTACGTAAAGTAATATATGTTTTCAGTTTTTATCTTGATATTCAATAAAGAGCATTGGCTTGAATATAAAACTCCGGCATTGGCCGTTAACACTTATCTTATTAATTGAAATTGGTTACCTAAAAGGAGAGAAGAGAGCCAGTGGCAACCGCCCGGCTCACCCATAAGAACAACCAGCCACGGTGGCGATTGCGTCATCACCCCCTCCCCCGGAACCAGTCACGGTGGCAACTGGAGTGTGACCCCCTACCCTCACGGACAGCGGCGAGGGACAACGTGTGGACACATCTAAAACATAATTTGTATACCGTGGAGTCTAGAAGCTTTAAAAATGATAAAGGAATCCCTGTCAAACAAGCCTTTCGAGACGTCATTGAGTGACTTCATGCATCCACTGAAATAACATAGACTATTGCGAGATTTAAAACTTTGGGACATCACCGTCGGGATGTATATAAGCCACACGGAGTATCCAGACTCGTTTAGACGCATTTGAGTGCTGGGGCTTCTCGATGGTACTTTACGATATGTGTTGACTAACCGCAACAACATTTTCTCTACACCCTCGCCGGTCGCGTAGCCTCTACTTTGATGGGAATAGGCTCAAGCATGAGGAAAAGGTAACTTACTTTAGAGTTACCTTAGACCGTCGCCTTTGTTGGAAGGGACATATTGATCGAGTCTGTGGCTCATCGAGGACAAAACCAGGTAGCGGCCTATCTCTTCAGGCCAAGGTGCGGCTATTTAAGGTTATTGTCCATCCCACAATTGCTGGGTTACGGCCTGTGGTTCATCACTAAAAAGGGTGCAAACGTGCATGGCTAAAGCTCTCAAGAGGACTTGGTCGACTTGGCGCTTATATCATTTAATACTTCCGTAATATAAGCAAGAACGGAAGCTAGCTTTGGCAAGCCGAAGGTGATAAATTTGTCTGCACGTGATTATATAGTATTTAAAAGAAACATCTTAATTTATCGGTAGTCGCTGAATTAAATTTAGCTCTTTATTACTCAGGATATATTATTTTAAAAGCTAATATTTTGAGAAAGACAATAAGAATAACCCAGCCTTGAAAATATTCTGAAATATTGCGTTTTAAAAATAGTGAACGATGTCATGAGAACTGAAGAAAAAATGGCAATCTTCTGAATCCGCTAGTTCTAACGCCTGATTATTATTATTTTTTTTCATAATCTTTAAAGTGAAAACTTGTACTATATAATAACAAATTCGGGACTTAACATTTAAAAAAAAATATAAATTTCTTTATTGATCAAAATAGTGTAAACGCGAACTGGGAGAGATAGGTCTGCTCCTTACAAGACAAACTTATAACTACCCTTATCAAACCTTCGGTTCGTATGTATTCCTTTTATATCTTTTGTTTCAATTATTGACAGTGGTTCTAACATTGTTACATTATTGTTTACATAAAAAATTTGGGTGTAGTCCATTATGGTATTTGTAATTAAAATTTCTTCGATTTGTACAGAACAATTAAATGCTTTTATGATATTACATCCTTCGACAACTATTGCTTGATTTATACATGATTGATTAATATTTGGCCTTATATAATTAGTTTCATATTTTTTATACATTTTTGTGTATCTACATTCGGCATTGGCTTGGTTTAATATTCCTATAATACATTTATTTGTAACTCTTTCTTTTGTGTTAAATGAAAATGTTTGATTATTTTGAAAATAATATATGTCTTCTAAAGGTTCTGTTAATATGTCATTAAATTAATTTGGGTAAGGCAAAATTTTGAATTTTGAAGTTTTTGTAATGTCTTTTGGGATATGAGAAATTATCAATATTTGATTAGTATTGGTTTGTAACCAAGTAGATGTTTTTATTATTAATAGTTTTTTTGAATTAACGTGTGTTAAAGTATCATGCTTAAGTAATTTAGGGTTAAAATGCCTAGTCTAGTAAGTTGCATGCCTAGTTTTATATCCTCTATGTATTCAGTGACTTCTTGTAGATTAAAAATAAGTGATGCCAGCCTTTCGTCTACATCATTTGTGAAGAGTTAAATAACTCCTGGAGAGAGTTTGGAGAGAACGAGGAGGGAAAGAGAGTTTGGAGAGAAGGAGTAACGGTAGAACGCAGCGGACTTTGGACCCTAGTATGGTGCCGTGTGCAAAACCGAAAAAGGAGAAGCCGAGAATTAACGGGATACGCCGGCCTATATAAGCAGGCCAAGCGCAGGAAGCTGGATCAGTCGATCACAAGAAGTCAATCCAGCAAGATCAGTAGACAAGCAGCAAATCAGTGAACAACACAAGTCAAGTTAACATCAGGAGGAAGCAGAGCCGCGCCGAGTCAACAAGGAGCAAGATCGCTACATCAAGACGTTCGGGGCTTAGAGTTGAAGTCTCCGAGCTGAGAAACTGGTAGCTGAGGTCCTTAAGGCATCACGCGGCTAAGTCCAGGCGCTTTGTTCTAATTCTTGTCGCGATTTGAGCTTGGCGTATTGCTCGGCGAGTCCGACAGAATTGAATAAAAAAGCGTCCTTCGACAAAGAACCGTGGGCTCGGAAGGGAAGCTGTCCAGAACCAGCTGCCATGCGAAAACAATTGTCTTGTCGAATTCCGGCGTACGCCTGAACCGGCAGGCGAGAATTGTGCAGGCCCTGGTGCGACTAGCCACGAAGGACGCGCGTCCGAACCACGGGTGTCTCGAGAGGCGTATGCGTCGAGAGCACAGTAGCACAGTAGTTCGCTGCCAGAGTCCTAGAAAGGCAGCTGACCGAATCCCGAGAGCCACCAAGTCTCACAAAAGCACGCGGACGACGGAACCAGGATTCCCGCCGTGAGCAGAGCAAGGACATCGAGGACACAAGAAACGACGATCAGTCATTGCAGGCCCAGCAGCAACCAAGCCACACTCCGACGTATCCTGTCCACGGCTAAGAGGCGAGGGCGGAAGCGTTCGTCTTGATCCAGGGACAGGAGGCTGTGGCTGC